GCTGGTATAGCTTGGAGGTGGTTGTTTGAGTATGATAGGTGAACAATCCATATTGAGACCAAGTAATTCGACATGCTGTGTTGCACGTCCATCATCGTAGCCTGCATGTAGATGATGTGATGGTGATGGTGTGGATGAAGGTGGTGCTATATTTTGTTGTGCAGCGTAATGTGGTTGCGCGGTATTTTGTGGTCCTGGGCCTAGTAAACTAAACATGGGTGGTTGGAATAATGTTTTATCTGGACTGGGTAGACCCCAACTATTTCCTAGACTTGCTGATGGTGGTGACATTTGACCAGGCAACACGCTTAGCTGTGGTGAACTCAACTGCTGCTGTTGTTGCTGTTGTGCGGCAGCAGCAGCTGCAGCTGATTGAAGACCGCTCATTGTTGTGTTACCTGTAGTGGTGAAAATGCCACGATATGATATTTTGCCGCTACTACTATTTGCATGCTGTTGTTGTTGTGGTTGTTGATGATGTTGTTGATGTTGCTGTTGGTGGTGGTGTTGTTGTTGATAGTGTTGTTGTTGTTGTTGTTGTTGCTGTTGATGATTGTGTTGGTGTTGCTGTTGTTGGTGTTGGTGTTGGTGTTGTAAGTGTGGGTGTTGGTGTAATTGACTGTGATGTTGTATTTGGTTTTGTTGTAAATGATGTTGTGTTTGTTGTTGGTGATATTGTTGGTGTTGTGGCGAGTGTTGTTGTTGGTGGTGATGGTGTTGGTGTTGCGTGTGTTGTGGAAGTTGCTGTTGTTGTTGGGGTTGTTGCTGATGTTGTTGTTGATGGTGGTGTTGATGTTGGTGGTGATGGTGTGTATTGCTTTGTGTTGTTGTATTTGTATTATTGCCTAGTGTTGTGCTTGTTGTTGTTGTTATCTGATTTTGACTAAGGTGTGTAGGATACATTGTACAACTATTATTACTTGTTTCTTCCTTAACAATTGCCAATGTTGGCGGTGTGCTGCGTTCTTCCTTCAATGGACTACACAGCACCGGACTGGATACTGTTTGCGGTTCAAGGGATAAATCTTCAGACTCAATGGAACCTAAAAATAAAAATAGAAAAAAAAAAATTAAAATAAATTCATAAAATGAAAAAAATTTTATTGTAATGTTTATGGTAGCATATATTTTGGAAGGGTTTTATTTTGTTAGTTCGATATAATGAAGCATTGATTTGGTTTAGAAATTAGTTCAACTAATTTTCACACAAAATATTCCGAGCAGAATTTTAAATGTAATAATTACACTGAAAAGTTAGATGCTTTTGTTTAAAACTGTTTTGGCTCATTCGGTTGTGAAATGGTTCAAAATTTATACCAATTAAAAATTATATCAAAATTATACTAATTAAACCAATTTAGCTACGTTAGAAGATTTCTTTTATGTTGGTCCATTTATTGATATTATTTAAAAATATAAAGTCTAAGCTCCTCTTTGAGTGCTCCGTTACTTTGGAAATATTGATTAGAAGCTAACTAGGATATCAAGTTAGTGCAAATTTTGCGAAACTATCATCGTTGATATGTGTATGATGCACTGGAACCAACAGTTATGCTATCATGCGCATTAAATTTTAAAAGACATTTATTGAGTATATTGACTGTAGTTTAAGTATGCTATTTTTATAGGATCTGTATGAGTCAGTTTTGATTCATGATTTTACAAATATTTTCTATTTACAAAAATATAGTGTTGCATTTATCGATAACACATTACCGATATATTTTGTTTTTAAAGCAAATCAAGTAATTTTGCAAATCAATAACAAATTTTTGTGTGTCATATATTCCCACACTATATGATGCTTCCATCATTTATTGGTAGAACTTTTAAAAATAATACGCATCTATGTACATTAAGTGATATGTTTTATATCTAGAAAGAAGAATAATTTGCCATATAAGAAGAAGTTACATCTTTTCAGATTCCTCTTTCTTGTTATGTTTTGTTGATAAAAAATAATATTCACCTAACAGAGCATCTGACGAGGTTATATTAAATA